TTTAATTCGCATCCTATTGGCCGTTTCTAAGCAAAAGATGGTTTGCTAAACAAACAAAAACACAGTTCTTGATAACGACTCCAGAAACAGTCGAACCGAAATGGCTGATCATCTTGCCTCCCACGACTTACTGTCTGACAAACAATATGGCTTCCTCTTTGCCCGGTCTACAGCCGATGTGCTTACAGTCGTAACTGAAAATGTATACCAATCTTTTGATATTAGGTTGGTGCAAAAATAATGACGTAATAATGTCGTTTTTCGACGTTAAAAATACGTCAAAAAAACGACATTATTACGTCATTATTTTTGCACCAACCTAATAATAAGAGCTATGTTCGATCTGTGGCTTTAGATATCTCGAAGGCGTTTCACAGGCTTTGGCATGCTGGAATTCCATCTAAGCTTCAGGGATACAGTATTACAGGACGATTATTTGATTTAATCCAATCATTCCTATCAAATCGTGAAATGAAGTTCGTCCTGAAACAGCGTTCATATGAAAAGAATGGAATTCTTTTCATACGAACGCTGGTGTTCTCCAAGGTTATATCTTGAGACCTAGACTCTTTCTGATCTTCATCAATGATCTACCTGATGTCATCAGTAGGCATCTACACAGACGACACTTCCATTTACTCCTGTCTCAATAGTAAATACGGCATTGGTGACAAAGGTAACCTAGATGTTGGTCTAGAAAAAAACCTCCAATCTGTGGTTGAGTGGTGCAGAAGATGGCTTGTGAATTTTAATGCCCGCAAAAGAATCTGCTCTCATTTAACCACCATAGAGAAACCTCCTTGCCTCCTATCAGTATGGTTGATGCTCAATTCACGAGAACGTCTCACTGCCACTTCTTGGTTTCAGGTTCTTCACTGACCTGAGGTGGAACAATTACATTGAATCAATGGATGCGTCTACAGCAAGTTCAGTTGCTTCTCTGTGTCATGCCAGAAAGTTTTTCTCGTCTGAGTCCATGCTTCACATCTACAAATCTACCATTCGTCCATGCATGGAATACCGTTGCCATATATGCTCTGCTGCCCCCGCTATTTATCTCAAGGTTCTCACCAAAATCCAAAGAGGGGTATGCAGTGTGATTTGTCCTGGTTTGGGGTCTCGACTCCAGTCACTTTCTCACCGACGAAATGTGACTTCCCTCTGTCTTTTCTATAAATACTTTAATGGCATCTGCTCTGACGAGCTATTCTCACTGGCTCCCCGAGGCAGGAAGTTAAGCGTACTACTAGGCAAGCATCTGATATGTCCCGGAAAGGGATATTATTTGTTCGAAGTAGCAAGGTGGATGTTGACTACTGTCACCGGGTAGGGCAATCTATCAGGTAACCATAATGGACTGGTCCTCGTCGTAGTGGTAGGCAATAGGTGTGGGAAATAGGCGTAGCTCATGTACCGCCACATCAGTCTGTATTTATGGCTGACACCATCCAATCATATTACTTTGAGGGGAACCCAGCTGTATGCATATTCATTACATCAGAATCACGGTCCCGCATTTTATTGTTGAAACAGTTAAATGTAACTGCTTCTTCTACTCCAACAGTTACTTTTCTCGCACTTCCCAGCAGTGGAACTCTCTATAAAGCTATAAAACGAGTTAAATAAAGAATAAAAAATAGAACCGAACTAATTCAAGTTTCACTCTTATGTATAAAAGATCTTTTGGCACTTCGACGTTGTGTAATGGTTAACAGGTTTATCTTGTTAGATCAATTACAACTGAGTAGTGAATTTGATTCTCACTGGGTGCTCCACACTTTCGGCCTTGTGCCACATCTAAGCTAGGGTTTGAAAATTAAAGCGCACTTCGGCGTGGTGTAATGGTTAGCAAGCTTGTCTCGATAGATCAATTAAGATTGAGTAGTAAGATTAATCCTCACTGCATGCCCCATACGTACAGTATTGTACAACAACTACGCCACGACTAGTAGTCGCTATAGGCACCTCGACATGGTGTAATGGTTAGCTGGTATGTCTCTTTAGAAGCATTATAACTGAGACGGTGGAATAATGGAAAGCGGCTCGGATTGAGGAATCAGAGAGCCGAGTTCGAATTCCAGTCGAATCCATTACATTCTTTTACATGCTAATACCTTTGGGAAAGGTATGAATTCTTTTCTTCCTCCAGCTATGGGTAAATAGCAAGACAAACCGGGTTCGATAGCATTTGATGGTTAGTGGTCTATCGCAGAAAGAAATGGCAAACTACTGCGGGAAAAAATTCTGCTTCGTCAGTCATGTATCGAAAGATGCCTGATCACCGAAGAGTGTATCAGGCATGGCAATATAAGAAAAAGTGAGTTAGATCTTCACCTCATACTTTCGGTCTTGTGTCAGAATCTAAGCTGCGCTTAGAAAATCGCCACATATATGAATGATCGTCAGACCAGGTAGAAGTGTTTAGAACGTGTTTCGACAGTTTTATTTTTATTCTTCATTTATCTTAAGTTCCTTCCCATATATATATATATATATATATATATATATATATATATATATATATATATATATATATATATACGTTTCTAAAGAATTAATGGGTATTTTTATTAATTAAT